TCTCTCTCCCTCTCTCCAAAAGCATATTTTTCCAGCTTTTCTAGCTTCTCCAGCTTGTCCCAGAGACTACCTACTGAAAAACAATATGTTTTCCCGCTTTTCCAGCTTTTCCAGCTTTTCCCAGAAACTACACCATTGAAAAACCATATGTTTTCAAACTTTTCCACCTTTTCCAGCTTTCCCCAGAGACTACACCATGGAAAAACCATGTGTTTTCCAGCTCTTCCACCTTTTCCAGCTCTTCCCAGAGACTACACCATGGAAAAACCATGTGCTTTCCAGCTCTTCCAGCTTTTCCCAGAAACTACCCCATGGAACAACCATGCGTTTTCCAGCTCTTCCACCTTTTCCAGCTTTTCCCAAAGACTACGCCATGGAAAAACATTGTGTTTTCCAGCTCTTCCAACTTTTCCAGCTTTTCCCAGAGACTACCCCATTGAAAAACCATGTGTTTTCCAGCTTCCCATATTTTCCCAATGCTTTCACTGGTGTAGTCTCTGGGAAAAGCTGGAAAAGCTGGAAAACACATGGTTTTTCCATGGTGTAGTCTCTGGGAAAAGCTGGAAAAGATAGAAAGCTGGAAAAGCTGGGAAACACATTGTATTTCAATGAGGTCGTCTCTGGGAGAAGCTGGACAAGCTGGGAAAGCTGGAAAACACATGGTTGTTCCATTGTGTAATCTCTGGGAAAAGCTGGAAAAAACACATGGTTTTTCCATGGTGTAGTCTCTGGGAAAAGCTGGAAAAGGTGGAAGAGCTGGAAAACGCATGGTTGCTCCATGGGGTAGTCTCTGAGAAAAGCTGTAAAAGCTGGAAAGCACATGGTTTTTCCATGGTGTAGTCTCTGGGAGAAGCTTCAAAAGGTGGAAGAGCTGGAAAACACATGGTTGTTCCATGGTGTAGTCTCTTGGAAAAACGGGAAGAGCTGGAAAAGCTGGAAGACATCTGGTTTTTCAATGGTGTAGTCTCTGGGAAAAGCTGGAAAAGCTGGAAAAGCTGGAAAACGTATTGTTTTTCAATGGGTAGTCTCTGGGACAAGCTGGAAAAACTGGAGAAGCTGGAAACAGATGCTTCTGGAGAGAGAGAGAGAGATGAGAGAGAGAGAGAGGGAGACAGAAAGAGAGAGAGCCCGAGAGAGAGAGAGACAGACAGATAGAGAGAGAGAGAGAGACAAGTATGATACTGGGGGGCCGTCCATCCATATATGCATGCCTGTGTAGATACGCACATGCCTATGTACATATGTAAGCATACATATACACAATCATCCTTACATACGTACAACCACACCAACAAACATACACGCATACAGACATGCATGCATACATGCATACATACATACATACACACGCTCGTACGCACGTACGTAGATGCATACATGCATATATGTATTCGTACATACGTACAAATGTGTAATACTACAAATATGTAGATATATCTGTGTATATCTACGAAGGTGTACTATATATATATATATATATACGCGTGCGACGGCATCATAGGGGGTTCTACTGAATGCCCCAGTTGAAGCGCCCGCATGGCGGCCCCGCCCAATTTCGGCGCACCCTTCACATGCTTGATGGCCCCACGCGGAGATCCCCCGAAGTCGATACTCACAGACACGGAACTCACAACTGCATATGGTTGGGCCCTTCGCCAAGATAGTTGTTTGTTGTCGGGAGCTCGCCCGCAGTCCGTGTCGTGAGCTCATTCCAAATGGAAAATCGTCTGCGGCACACCCCACTCTTATTCCGGTATTAGGAATACCAGGCACTGCAAAAATACACATGCATAATGTACACTGACCTTGGGTATGCGCGTGCGTGAACTCGCGCACTGATGCGCAAGGCCACGTGAACTTCCCGTGCTTGCTCCAACAAAAATGTCGTGGAATCGACCTACGCTTGGAAAACAGATCTGGCAAATCACCAGAGGGAACGAGGAAACTCTTTTATAATGCGCCACAAGCCAGCCACGCTGCGAAACGCTCCGCTGCCAGCACCAGCCATCATGGCTACGATGAAAAGGAAAGGACGAGCTGGATACTTCTTCAACGCGAACACGATGAATGCGATGATGCTAGAAATGCTGGCGATGGTGACAGCCATCGAACCCGCGGCCCAACCAGGCGCCCCCCGCGCCGTCGAAGATGACACTACCAAGCTGCGACCTGTGAACGTCCGACTCGCCCACGAAGCTGCTCCTACCGCCGCTAGTCGGAGTCGTTCCACGGGTCGGAGTCAAAATCGCGATCAGATCCAATCATCCCTGAAGTGGCCCAGTCTCGGCCCCATGGCTGGCCCCTTGCACTGACTTCCGACTCAACCTCCGAGTCCGACTCGCCAACGGCTCCCCGAGCGTCCACATCCGGATCTCCGCCGAGGCTGGCGAGGGCAGTCCTGCGGGGCTGGCTGTAAAACAAACATGAACCAACACAAGTACCTCTCCTCAAGGGCCGCTCATATATGCCGACATAAGGAATCCCGCGCCTGCGCGCAATGTTAGGAGCATCATGCGTTCTTCGTTTGCCGTGTTTTGC